ACGACAAAAGAAATATCTCATGGTTTATGTATCAAAACTTTTGGGATATTATTAAGGAGTATAAAATTACTAAGAGGGTGATTTACAACTTTTAAATGTATAGTTTGAAAATGAAAAAGAATAAAAATTAATGAACTAAGACTCTAACTCAAGAGGTTAGAAAATGAACAATAGGGTAAACGAAAGAAAACAGAAAGAAAGGTAACAGTGGGAAAAATTAAATTAATATCCAATCATGATAAAACTCTCGACAAACCAAGAGTAGTAGAGAATTTCCTTAGCCCTGGGACCTACCACAAACAACATATATAATGATAAAATGTTAGAAATATTCTCTTTAAATTTAGAAAAAAGCGTGCCATCAGCATGTCTGCAATACCATAAGCCAATACAGTAAGACAAAAGCAAGTGGTATACAAATTAGAAAGGAAGAGACAGTATGATTTCATTACTTACAGACGGTGATTGTCTGCATAGAACATCCAAGAGAACATTAATAGCAGCTATTGAACGTATAAGAGCCTACTGGCTATAAGAATCATAAAAAGAAATCAATAGAATGTATATATATATAATACTAGCAATAAATAATAAAATATAATTTTAAAGATCCTCCTACCAAAATAGGAATAATTTTTTAAAACTCATAATAAATCCATGAAAAAGATGTGTGAAACCCCCTTTATGGGGAAAATTGGAAAGCATTAATGAAGAACATAGAAGTCCTAATTAAATGGAAAGAGATATACTCATGCAAGGAAGACTCAATATCATAAAAATGTCAGTTCTCTGCAAATTACTCCATAAATTCAGTGCAGTTTTAATAGAAATTCCATTACAGTTTAGTATAATAGATCTCATTCTACAATTCACATGGAAGAGTAGAAGGCCCAAAACAACAAAAGCAGTATACAAGGTAGGTATCTTAACTGTATTTGCTATTAAGACACAGTGTGATATGAGCACAGGGATAAATAAATAATAAATAGATCAGTGGGACAAGATGAAGAACTGACCTGCATAGCTACAAGGACTTACTGGGTCACAGGTGTGATGAACACCATTCAACAAATGGTGTTAAGGGTGGGCAATTGACTGTCCTACCTCATGCCACATACATACAAAAGTAAATTCCAGAAGGTTTAAAGACATAAATGTGAAAAACAGAACTTTAAAATATTTAAAAGAAATTACAGTAGAATGTTTCAAAATCTGTTAACTTTCATTATACGTATACTCACACATGTATACAATTTCATATAAATGCATAAGGATGATCATATATGTGCTTTTTTCCCCTCACTACTCTCTTTTTGCTAGGCAGGTTCCTCTGTCTCCTTCCCCATGTAAGTCCATCCCCAGCCTCTCCTCTAACCCTGCACAGCACGTGTGTATCCCTCTATATTTTGCTCATGTTACTGACTATTACACATGCGCACAGGTAGAGAAACAGGTGCAGGATTTTTGGTTGCTTGACTTTTCAAAACTGAGATCACATTAGTCATGCTTTTTCTACATCTTGTAGATATGACCTTGGGATCAGTAAGGATTTCTTAAGTTCTGTCACATTTTTGAGTTTTTTCCAGTTGTGATTTATATTGTTCTTTCATGTCTTATGCCATTTTCTTAGTGTCTTTTAGCTCAATTTGAAATAGCATGTTATGTTTTGTTCTTGTTTATTTCCTCCTGGCGTGCCTTCATTTCCTAAGGGGATGGCATTCTGTCCCTTGTTCTCTTTTTTCTCAGGTGATTGTGTGTAGGACTTGACTTGAGAATTTTCTGTTCATTCTAATGTGAATTTGGTTTTCCACAACTTGTACACGGAGGCTTGGTTCAAATAGGTTTTCTAACTGCACAGAGCTTTGCGAGTGTTGTTTTCATGAGAGCTGTTTTCTGCGGCCTCCTGCTATCTGGACTGTGCCTTTCTTTTTCTCTTTCCTCTATTGTCCCTATCCTGCTCGATTCTGATTCAATTCCCAGCAGTTTCTCCTCAGTGTGGGGCCAGGAACTGGAAGCGAGCCCTGGCCGGTCACTTGAGAGTTCACAAGAGCTAGGCTGTGTCACAAGTAATCTGAAAAGTTATTTTGAGATGTGGGAGAATGAATGTTACTTACAGGTGCTTATTCAGTTCTGATTAAGAACCAGAAATGTTAGCTATGTGCACAGTTTTGCCACTACCATCGGCAGCAGGGCTGAGTGAAGGTGATGACTGATTACTACAAAGTACTCAGGAACATGGCTGTTCGTTCGTCTTCCAGTGAATAAATCCTGCCTCAGGCAACAAATATTAACTTTGGGCAATGAAAAAAGAATGTCTCTTTTTCTAGTGAAGGACTCCTCCATAGGATAAGTAATGTGTTCCTTTAAAAAAAAAGTGTTGCCTTTATATATAAATTTTATTTTTTTTCTAACAAGTATGGACAGCCCTTGACTTACATAAGAGTTCTGTTCTGAAAAACTTTACATAACTAAGTTTTTTAATAGGGTGGAATCACTTTACAGCAAAGAGATGGCTTCGGGAGCTATTCAGGGAGTACACATGCTGGAGACAATTTATGAGCATCCTTCATCAAAGTAATTGCCTTGTGAATACAGCCAATGCTTAACTTTCTTAAAGTGAATTTTTTTTTTAGTTGTACGGAGTCTCTGTTTAAAAGATAAAATGCATTCCTTCTATATGAAGATGAAATCGTTTTTTTTCTTATAGAAAAGAAAACGAAGAGAGAAAGATGATGATGTTGTAAGCCTCAGCAGCCTTGATCTGAAGGTAAGCCCTGCTGTCTTGTTAAAGAAAAGCACTTTGAAATCTGCAGATAGCATTTTATGTCTGTGCTATAAGAGAAATGAATGCCGAGGTTTTGGGGGCCGGGATTTTTGCGTTTTTTCAAGTGCAAAACTGAATAATATTGGCTCATAGACACTCTCTTTTTGCTATTTTACTTCTTAAAACAATGTCAGGCTGTACGTAGTGATGGCAGACACAGGCGCCTGAGGAGACTGGCCCTTAATCTGTGCCAACCACGGAGGTGCGGGAGGGACAGCGGTGAACAGGAAAGCACCAGCCCCTGAAGGAAGCAGCCACTGATTTGCTCTGCCTGTCGTTTCCTGTAGCTCTGTCAAAATCTGGGTTTTTATGTGAAATCTTCTGAATTTTAAATGTTGAATCAATTTTTTCTTAAAAACAAACAAAAAAACCATGTAAGCCAAACAACTTGTCTA